CGCATGATCGCCGCCACCACAGTTCTCATAAAGGACTCTCACAAATTGACTTTGGGGCAGCCTTTGACTATTTATGCCCCCCATGCTATGGAGGCGGTCATCAGGCAGCCACCGGGCCGCTGGCTCACCAATGCCAGGATGACTCATTACCAGACTTTGTTGCTGGACAAGGACCGAATTCACTTCGGGGCTCCGGTGACCCTAAACCCCGCCTCGCTACTCTCCCTTCCTGGGGAAGCAGAGACTCATGACTGCTTGCAGGTCCTGGCTGAGGTCCATGGGACGAGAGCTGACCTCACGGACGGACGGAAGCAGCTTTGTACATCAAGGGGAAAGGAAAGCCGGTGCTGCAGTGACAACTGAGTCAGAAACAATTTGGGCCGAGGCCCTGCCGCCAGGAACATCGGCTCAACGAGCAGAACTGATTGCCTTAACACAGGCCCTGAGACTGGCAGAAGGTAAGAAACTCACTGTCTACACAGACAGCCGCTATGCTTTTGCCACCGCTCACATCCATGGTGAAATTTATAGGTGAAGGGGGCTATTGACCTCAGAGGGCAGAGACATTAAAAACAAAAAGGAAATCCTGGCCCTCTTAGAGGCTCTGCACCTGCCAACCGCCCTCAGTATTATACATTGCCCAGGGCATCAGAAAGGCGACAGTCCAGTCGCCCGGAGAAACCGGAGGGCAGACCTGGCCGCCCGGGAGGCTGCCCTGGCTTTGGAAAGCAGCAGTCACCTCCTCCAGGCAGCTGTAGTCCCTGTAACTAATGAGGCTTCCGAGAAGACCTCCCCGTCATGGGACTATGAGATAAAAGACATCAAAGCCATGAAAAGACTGGGGGCGACCCGAGTACATGATGGTCTCTGGACCTATCAAGGAAAAACTGTCCTTCCCCGCCTAATGACTAGATATCTGGTTAACAGCCTACACAAACTCACTCATTTGAGCTCCAGGAAAATGCGAGAACTATTAGCCCGGGAAGAAAATACTCGCCACCTGTTGGGAATAGAAGAAATAATAAAACAAGTGACTGAGCAATGTGACGCCTGCGCCCGCGTCAATATGACCAGGCTAAAGCTACCCATGGGGACTCGAGCTCGTGGGCACCGGCCTGGGGTGCATTGGGAAATAGATTTCACAGAAATCAGACCAGGAAAATATGGATACAAGTACCTCCTGGTTTTTGTTGACACCTTCTCGGGATGGACTGAAGCCTACCCCACCAAGCACGAGACGGCGAAGGTGGTCACCAAGAAACTTCTTGAAGAAATCTTCCCCCGCTACGGAATGCCACAGGTATTGGGGACAGACAACGGGCCTGCCTTTGTTTCTCAGGTAAGTCAGTCTGTGGCCACCTTGTTGGGGATTGATTGGAAATTACATTGTGCTTACCGACCCCAAAGCTCAGGACAGGTAGAGCGAATGAATAGAACCATTAAGGAGACTATAACTAAATTATCGCTTGCAGCTGGCACTAAAGACTGGGTCCTCTTGCTCCCCCTTGCCCTCTATCGTGCCCGGAATACACCGGGCCCCCATGGCCTCACCCCTTTTGAAATTCTATATGGAACCGCCGTTCCCTTTGTTCAGTTCTTTGACCAAGATATTTCTGACTATGCCAATTCCTCCTCTCTTCAAGCTCACCTGCAGGCACTCCAGCTGGTCCAGCAGGAAGTCTGGAAGCCTCTGGCCCAAGCCTACTGAGACCAGAGGAAACATCCTATCGTCCCTCACTCCTACCACGTGGGAGACAGCGTTTGGGTCCAGCGCCACCAGGCTAAGAACCTTGAACCCCGCTGGAAGGGACCATACACGGTCCTGTTGACCACCCCTACTGCTCTCAAGGTGGACGGGATTGCTGCTTGGATACACGCCTCGCACGTAAAAGCTGCCTTCCCTGAGGATCCGGACTCAGGATGGAAAGCTCAACGCACTCAAAATCCTTTAAAAATAAAACTTACCCGCTCCCCTCCCTCCTGCTAATAGCCCTCCTCATAAAATCAAGCACTGGTGTGGCCTCCAGTCCCCATACCGTTTATAAATTAACCTGGGAGGTTCTCTCCCAAGTGGGGGGGAGGTCATTTATGCTGTCACGGAACCACATGCACTTGGGACATGGTGGTCTACTCTATGGCCTGAATTTTGTGATTTAGTAGCAGGGTTGGACACTTGGGACATTCCCCATTGCCACCCAAAGGCATGCGCCAGTGGTTCCCACCTTTTCAGACGTCGACGTACATTCATATTCATGGACTCCAGAGAAACCACCCCCGGGTGTGTTAGTCGCAGAGCCAGAGAGCAGCTAAATTCACAGGACTTCTATGTCTGCCCCCAAGATGGACGTACCTGGCAACAGGCCCGGAAATGTGGGGGACATGATTCCTTTTTCTGTGCAGCTTGGGGGTGCGAGACTACAGGGGACACATGTTGGAGGCCATCCTCATCCTGGGATAAAATACAAGTACGCAGAGGCTGGGACAAAGGACAATCTGGAATGATAGGTATGCCCCTTGCCATTTCCTTCACTGCGCAGGGAAAGCAAGCCCCGGACTGGCAGACTGGGTATACCTGGGGTTTGCGTTGGTATCTATACGGGCCAGACAGGGGAGTAATCTTTACAATCAGATGTAAGGTGGCTCCTGTCAATCCACAGGCCATAGGCCCTAACCAGGTCCTTGCTGATCAAAAGCAGCCTAGCCTACTCATGCCCAAGGCTGATACCAGGCCCCTGACCCTGCCTAAAACCACAGCTGCTCCCGCGCCTACAGAAAGCACTCCCAAACCCCCCTCCTCGGGACCCCCCCTTAAAGGCACAGGAAATAGAATATTAGCCCTGATCCAAGGGACATATGCCACTCTGAATTTAACTCGCCCAGATAAGACTAAGGAATGCTGGCTTTGTCTGACTCCGCAACCTCCCTATTATGAAGGCTTAGCGGTTGTGGGCGAATATACAAAACAGGCCACAGCCGAGGCCCTTTGTGGGACAGCCATGCAACATAAATTGACCATCTCAGAAGTGTCTGGAAAGGGGCTATGTATAGGTAAAGTCCCCGCCACGCATCAAGGACTATGCAATGCCACTGAGCCTTTGCCCCAAAGTGGCCGCTACTTGATAGCCCCCAATGGGACATATTGGGCATGCAACACTGGATTAACCCCTTGTGTCTCCACCACGGTACTAGATGCCACCGTTGACTATTGTGTTCTGATTGAATTATGGCCTAAGGTAATTTACCACCCCTCTGACTATGACTTGATAAGTACTGGCCGCAGTAAGAGGGAACCTATCTCCATCACTACTGCCATCCTACTAGGGGGATTAACCATGGGAGGCATAGCAGCAGGAATAGGAACCGGTACTGTCGCACTGCAGGAAACTAAACAGTTCCAACTCCTACAACAAGTAATGCGTGCAGATATTCAGTCTTTAGAGGAATCTGTCGCTGCCCTGGAGAAGTCCCTATCCTCCCTGGCAGAAGTAGCCCTCCAAAATAGAAGGGGACTAGACCTCTTATTTTTACAGCAGGGGGGGAATTTGTGCGGCCCTTAAAGAAGAATGCTGCTTTTACGCAGACCATACCGGAGTGGTAAGAGACAACCTGGCTAAAATAAAAGAAAGACGCCAAAAGTACCACCAATTAATTGAGTCCCAACAGGGATGGTTTCAGAACTGGTATAACAGGTCCCCTTGGTATTCGACTCTCATATCCACCATTATGGGACCCCTGATCATTATATTTCTGATTCTGATGTTTGGGCCATGTATCCTAAACAGATTGATCCAGTTCATAAAGGAAAGGTTATCAGTTGTACAATCACTGGTTTTGACTCAACAATACCAGCAGCTAAAGCAAAGGGATCTCGAGATGGCAGAAACCTCTGAATGAAAGATTCCATTCAGTTACAAGAGCAATGGGGGAATGAAAGACCCCGGCCCAGCCTACACGGAGGCAGCTGAGGCTTATGGAAAATTCCGTTTCCCCCACAGCTCAGCTGAATAGTCATTTTTTTATCAGAAGGGAGCTCAGCTCAAGGTCTTCATGGCTGAATAGTCACTACTATCAGAAGGGAACTCTGTCCAGGCAGGGACACAGGTGTCTACTGTCTGCATAGCCACACAGAAACCTATTGTTCCTCAGATAGGGCCAAGGCTGAGACTTGAGTTCCAAGCAAAACCTCAATTGCCCTCGATTCTGAGCCCCAGCCTCATTTAAATTGCCCAATCAGGGACCTGTAACTAGGCTTCTCGCTTCTGTACTGCGCTTTTTGCTATAAAAGAACCCCTGAGTCCCCAGCTCGGCGCGCTCAGCCCCCCCCCAAGACTGAGACGCCCGGGTACCCGTATGTAAATAAAGCCTCTTGCTGTTGCATCCAAGCTCGTGGTCTCGTTGTTCCTTGGGTTCGGGTCTCCCTCCCGTGAAAGTCCCCCGCTTGGGGTCTTTCAGGAGTACCTATGGACAAGGGGACTAAAAAGAGGGACCCTGGGGTAGTGGCCATTCTATAAAAGGAAGACAATCCTAGTTTATGAAAGACACTAATAAAATGTAAATATGTTGACTCTCCTTATATTTGTGTACTGTTAAGTAGAAGGACACCAGTTCTGCGATATGCGTGTGTGTATATAGCTCCTGAGGCAACCCCCCTCCGCCCCAGGCTGAAAGCCTCTTGAGAAAAGCAGGTTTGCTTTGGACAAAGGCCAACGACAGTCCTAACCCTTCTGGACAGGAAATGTTCAGAACCACAGAATCTCCTACAAATGCTGGGGTGGTTTTGTCACTACAGCTAATGACTATTTTGAGAACGTTGACATGTTTCACTGGGGATGTGTTGTTACACATGAAGAACCCCACCAAAGGGGATTCCACTCCTACTCCACAAGCTCAGGAAAGCTCTGGAAAATTCTGAAAGGAGCAGGGCGGCAGGTTGGCTCCCCTCCGTGTGGCAACGTCTTCCGAACATTCCCAGCGCCGCATTCTCTCTCTCGGTGGCTCACCTGCTCGGAGTCTCCACCAAAGGAGGCGTTCCAGTTTTGCAGCCCATCCCTGAGCTCCCAGATGTCCACCACACCATCCCCATTGCGGTCCAGGTCTTCGAAGAGGATCTCATAGGCCAAGCGGTCATAGTCACTCTGGCAGGTCGCGGAGGGCAGCACGAAGCCCTGCAGCCAGTGCAACATAGCCCAGCGGCGGCCGCCACGACCCCCGGGGCACTGCTCCACCTGTCGCCTCCGTGACCTCCGGGCTGCGCACAGGGCCGGCTCTGCAACCGCCTGAGCCGCGAGCGCCACGGTGCTTCCGCGGAACCTTGAGAACCGGGAACGCTGCCGGGTGGGAACCTGGGCTCCCGCGCGCCACGCGACACACACCTCCCCGGCCGGAAGTTGGACCCTAGGGCGCCTGAGACTGTGACCACCCGGACCAAAGCCGCCGTCGGAAGAGGATGTGAGGGTGAAGTCTTGCGAAGTGCTGCCAAGGGCTGCACATTTCCCAGTAAGTAGGGAAGGCGCCGCTGGGCCTTTCGAATGTGCTCACACGTGATTTCCAAGAAAAAGCTTCCCGAAGGCCCATGGCGTGTAAGGGTCGAGTCTCCCGGTGGACTTCTTTACGAAGAATAGTACAGTCCCGTGAAACAGATGGGGAACCTTTTCAAAATAACAGTTATCTGCAGTACCATAGCTGCTGCCTGGCCCTGGGAACCATGACTGAATCTGTGGTAACTCGTTCGCTGTTTACGGTTTCTCACACCCAGGCCTTGAGTGAAGTGGCTGTACCTCAAGCTGAGGGGTGGGGTGGGAAGGTGGGAGGAGGGGGGTCAAATGGGACTTTTTCCCTTTGCTATCCAGTGCCCTAAAACTACCCTTCACTCCAAGGAAGACCAGTAGGGAGGCATCTGGACTGGGTGGAGACACACCCTACCTGGTCTGAGAAAGGAAAAGAAGAGTCTGTCCTCGTGCCTGTCCCTGCTGCTGTCTCTGAGAAGTGGTTTCCTAATGACCATGTCCTCTTCCACATTTCTCACTTCCTTCCAGAAAGACTGCTCCAGCCATTACCACCACATGACAAAACTCAATTGATACTTTATGGGCTTTGATTCATTTACCCAGGGCTTGTGCTGGCCATTCATCCTAAAACATCTCTTTGTCTTCTGGGACACTATACGCTTCTGCCCTCCTCTGTTTCTCTCCTATGCCCCCTTCAAAGGCTTCTTTGTGAACCCAAGAGCTTCTAAACTTGAAGCCTTGAAGAATTGCCATAGATGAACTTAAGGCTAGTTATTTCTGTGAAGTTTTGTACCCTTGATCACATTCTTTGAAAGCTAGAGTATAACAGGCCCAGTTCTTTGTTTTTAGTTTTATTTTTTTATATGTGTGTGTAAGTATACACCCAGAGCTGGAGTACAGGTGGTTGTGGACCTGAGAACCCAGCTCTGATCATCTGGAAAAGCAACAAAAGCTCTTGACACCTGATCCCTTTTCCAAATCGCAAGACCTGTGTTTTTAAGTGAAATATTTTTTTTCTTGTACAAGCCCAACTCTTACACCATGAAGTTCATTTATTTCTTAAAATAGCACTGCTTTACATGTATTTTATGATGTTACTTATTTCATATGAATTTTTATACCATATGTTTCTAAATGCTAAAAGTATAACGCTGAACCTGCTCTCATAGACACTCAACATCTAGTACACTCTAGAATGAAATGCATCTTAAGTGATGTAATAAATATGTGACCAAATGTCATAAAATATGTATTTGTATTGTGTTACTTCATTGAATAAATTCATAAATTAACAATAAAACAAAGCTATTAATAAAACTTTAGAAAATGTAAGTACTGAGCATTTATAATTGTTAAAGACCATTTTTCTTTAAAAGATAATTGTAATAAACAAACAACACATTGTGGAAATTACATCAGAGATAAATGTGTGGCAATAATAAAAGGATATAAAGGAGAACATGGATGTATATGGCTAAAAACTCTTTGTACCATATGTGATAAACATTTTTTTAAAAATATATAAGCCAGGTGTGTTGGCTGACTTTTAATCCCAGCAATCAAGAGCCTGAAGCAGGCCCATGAGTTCAAGAGTAGCTTAGGCTACATAGTGAAATTCTAAGATGCTTTCAAAAAGAGAGGGGGGCAGGGAAGAAGGAGGAGGAAGAAAGGAAAAGAGAATAGGAAACATCAATAACAATATTTACCAATTAAGATTTCTAGAACATGCAACAATAACAGACTATGTTTTCCTTCACTTGTACATGTAAAAATCACTGTAAGGGTCTGGAGAAATGTCTCAGTGGTTAAGAGCACTGACTGCTTTTTCAGAGGTCCCAGGTTCAATTCCCACCATCTACATGGCAGTTCACAACCATCTGTAACTCCAGCTCCAGGGGATCTTACACTTTCTTCTGGCCTCCTCAGACAATAGGCACATACATGGTGCATAGACATACATGCAAGCAAAACAGGCATACATACATATTTTTAGATCTCACAAAAACACACAATATAAAAGGTCTGATAAGTCCTTATATAATAATAGTAGGTCACTTAAAAACCCTACTCTCATCTTTAAATAGGTCATTCAAACTAAACAATCAAGAGAGAATCTGGTGTTAAACTATGCCTTGGGTCAAATGGACCTAACAAATATCTGCGGACTATTCCATCTGTCAGAAATGGAACCTTCTCTAAAATATACCATCCTATGTCACAAAGTGAATCTTAACAAATACAAAATTATTTATGGATCTTCTCAGGTCATAATGGAATAAAACTGGAAATCAGTAGCAACAGAAAGCATAGACTACATAAATACTTGGGAGACTGAACAGTGCATCCTTGAGTGATCAGTGGATCATTGAAGAAATCAGGAAGGAAATTTTTTAATTCCTAGAATCAAATGGAAATAAAAACACAACTTACCAGAACCTCTGTGATACACCTAAGGTAGTTCTAAGAAGTTTATAACTATGAATGATTACATTTTTAAGAATCAGATCTCAAGTAAATAACTTAATGATGTAATATAAGGTCTTAGAAAAATGAGAACAAGCCAAATTCAAAAATAATGAATGGAAAGAAATAGTAAAGTTCAAAGAAGAAACCAATTAAATGGAGGTTAAAAGAATAATAATCAACAAAAACTTTGTTCTATGAATAAAATACAAGATTGTTTCAAAGCTCCAGAGGAACTAATCAAAATAAATAAGAAGCCCAAATTAATAAAATTGCAGATGGAAACGTGAGTGTTATAATAGATTCCAGTGAAATCCAGAGTATCATTGTGAAGTGTTTTGAATTTTTTTTTACTCCAAAAATACTGGAAAGTCTAGAAGTTTATAGCTTCCTAAATTAAATGAAGATGTAAAGAACTTAAGCAGATCTATATTAAGCAATGAGTCTGAAGTAGTAATAAGAGTCTCCTCACCATGAAAAGAATGAAACCACACAGATTGATCACCAAGTCCCATCAAACCTTTACGGAAGAACAAATACTTACACCCCTCAAACAATTCCACAAAATAGAGAAGAAACACTTCTAAGCCTGTTCTGCACAGCTTCTAAAATCTTGGTATCAAAATTGGACAAAGACACAACAAAAAAGAAAATTATCATCAATTTTTCTGAACACAAATCCAAAGCGTCCCAGTAAACCTCATACAGATGGTTATCAAGAACACATTGAGATAGCCATTCAGTATGATGAAATTGATTTCATCTCAGTAATGTAAGTTGTTGAACATATACAAATTAGTGTAACTCTAAATTTAATTAGATAGAGTGCAGAAATTACATGATCATTGCAATGGATACAGAAATGGACACTCTAGGCAGAACAACAGGTAGACAAATGCAGGCAGACTCACTGCTGAACCAGAGGTCTTGCCAGCCTCCAGAACTCCCTGCTGGAGTTGAGGCTATGCCGGCCACCACCAGGACTCCAGATAGGCCACCCACCCTTGGACCTTCTCAGTTTGCCCCCGCCCCATCCCCTACTCACTGTTTTGTCCCAGCCATCAACTCAGGAAGAGACTCCCTGCTGGACCAGAGGCTATGATAACCTCCAGAACTCCAGGTAGGTGCCAACACATAGACCTTCTCCACTCCCTTAGTACTCCCCCACAATCACACTGCTGCCCCAGGACATTAACCCCAATCCCTCCTCCCCTCGCCACAGCAGCCCCAACTAAGGTGGAGATGCAAAACTCAACAAGAAGTCATCGAGTAAGTCCAGCCTCAAATTCAAGCAGAGAACTCCTGGTCAAGTAAGTACAGGCCACACAAATCAGAGAACCAGAGAGGAAACAGAAACTAAAAACAAAACACCTAACAAAGACAAACTCAGATCATCACCTAGACCTATAATTACCTCAAACCCAGATGCCTAGATCCAGGATAAGAACACAATCAACAATAGCCAAGGCAATATGTCACCACCAGAGGCCAGCTATCCTACAGAAAGTCCTGAATATTCCTCACCTTCAAAGACAGACATTACCTCAGAGTTAAGGACTGGGAAAAGATTTTCCAGTCAAATGGACCTAAGAAGCAAGTGGATGTAGCTATCCTAATATCTAACAAATTAGACTTCAAACTAAAATTAATCAAAAGAGATGAAGAGGGTCATTTCATATTCAACATAGGAAAAATCCATCAGAATGAAGTCTCAATTCTAAACATCTATGCCCCAAATACGAAGGTACCCACATTCATAAAAGAAACATTACTAAAACCCCACACACAGAGGGAGACTTCAACACCCCACTCTCACCACTAGACAGGACAACCAGACAGAAACTTAACAAAGAAATAAAGGAACTAAAAGAAGTATGACCCAATTGGGTTTAACAGACGTCTATATAACATTCCATCCAAACAAAAAAGAATATGCTTTCTTCTCAGAAACACATGGAACTTTCTCAAAAATCGACCACATACTTGGCAACATAGCAAACCTCGACAGGAACAAAAAAAAGGAATAACCCCCTGTATCTTATTGGGCCACCATGGCTTAAAATTAGAATTCAACAACAAATTGCAGAAACCCCACAAACTCGTGGAAATTGAACAATGCTCAATTGCTTCACTCCTGGTTAAAGGAAGAAATAAACAAATCAAAGACTTCTAGAATTCAATGAAAATGAAGGCACTACATCCCCAAACCTATG